GGAGTGTGGGGAAGGCTTGTTCTTTACAGAAAGCTTTGTCAGGTTAAAATTAGTTCTGTCTACCAACAAAGAAGAAAATGTGTTTACTGAAGAAGAAAACAAAAAATTCTACTACTTCATAGTATAGAATTGATCTCCTTTATCTCCCTAAAGAGGTTAAATGTTCCTGGAAAGCAGATTTTAAAGGATTTGGAATGCATACAAGTAGCCACTACTAGAAGGACCAGGTGCAGGTGTTCCTGTTTATTAATAGGAAGAAAATCCTGAGGCTATGAGTGGGAACTGTCAGTGTCTTTCACTGATGCAAAATACCAGATGTTGCATGAAAGAACTATACCAACCTCAGAGGCTTTTGATCATTTTAATGGAGAAAATTGCTCTTTGATTTTGAACAATAGATCATTGGTCCTACAATCAAGTTCTATTTATAGACCTTGAAAGTAATCTTCATGCGGAGGGAGAGGGAAGATCACTATCCACAGTCCCTTTCAATGCTCATGAGATTCGACAAGAAGTAAGTCTGGAACAGTCTGGGCATTAAAAAAGGTTCAGGATTTGTCCCTATGGAATTCTGTCTCAAAGGTGAAGTGCCAGCTGAAAAGTGCAACATCTTTATCTTCAGAAGACTTGGCTGTGATAAGGATTCATTGCTGCCTGATGAAAAGTTTAGAAAAAGGGGAAAAAAAAAAGAGTGGGGGATATGCTTTGTCTTACCTATTGTGTTACGTGGTCATTTTGTAATTCCAGGCTCGCACTGTGTGTCTTCTCATAGCAGAAGCCACAAGTTTTTAGTAGATGTGGACTATTTTGTTTGCTACACAAACATCTTAGAAATTCAGCTAAAGCGCTGTGGGCTATTTGTAACACAGTAAATGCGAGGGAAATAGACATATGAAGCATATCATCCACATCTAATGAACAGTCTTGCTGTGGATGATCAGAAATAGTTTGGTATTAATACTAGTTCATGTTCCTAATGCTTTGTAAGCATCGGACACTACTTTGAACTGCTTTCCATATTTTCTGTAGTAGTTCATAATACTTCAGATTGCATGCTAGCTTTGCCAAAGTGCTGCTAGTTTTTACTATGGGGCAAAGTTACTGCTATGACTTTTGTGGAGTGTAGAAATAGAAATGCTTCTTCTGCACCAAGATGGGTTTATGCAGACCTTAAATATATATAAGTAAATGACCTGTGCAGCTCTAATTCCTTCCCTGAGGAAGTGGGACCATGATACTTTTAGTAGTTGACCAGAATAAGTGAGCTGCAGTGGAGTATGGAGTGGTAAGTTGTGGCTGATGAATGCCAGAAATAATGGCAACCTCCTTTAAATATGGAGAAACTACAAAGAATAATAATTCCATACATATATGGAGTCTTTGTGACTCTCTGGGCAACAAAGCTGGTTGTCCCACCTTTTGTTCAAGGCAGAGCTAAAGTCAAGTCTGATCTTAAAGGCCATGTCATACGTCTCACTCTTACAAAAGTTATTTTGGAAATTTTGTATGGAAGTAAAAGTGCTATGATCAGACTCGGGATATTCACAGGCACTGTGCTGACCAACTTATTTTCCTGAAACAGTTGTTGGAATTACCTGCTGGTTTCAGCTGTTTTATCAGTTATTCATGAGTGCTGCTTTAAAATATTTGGGTTTGTTTCCTGGGTATTTTTTTATATATGACTTGACGTCTAATTACAGGAGTCAAGAAAGGAGCAAATGTAAGTTATTTTGAATTCAAATTAATTTCATACAGAGTTGTTCATAGTTTTCCCCAGTAATTTACCCCTATTTGTCTGCAGAAGAAACTTTTGCAGTACAGTAAATAGAAGT